TTTGTTGATTGTTTGGGGTTTTTTTCTTTAAGATTGGAAGATTGCCATTGGGTGTGAAAACTGAAGAGCTTTACCTCTCTTCATACTCCTTTATCCTTTCCCTCTGTCCCCCTTTGTAGGAAAAATATTATCAACACGGTATTTGCAGCTTTCCTAATTTGTCCAATGATTATTGTATAGAGATTGTGCAATGTTCTCCATACACAGCTCACCTATGTGTGGAACCATTTAAGGTGTGGAGGGAATAGTCCTGTGACCTTGCCATTTGACCACCACGTAACCATTCTACATCTATACTGTGTTTTGAACCTAGGCTCCTTTTACGTTATAAATTTACTTGGAAATGACAGCTGTTCTTGAAAGTTGTTTCAAGAACCAAACGTGCCTACAGAGCACATTGCAATACTGCAGAGCTACCAAAGCATCCTCTGACAAAGGTAGTTTGGGTACTACAGGTAGGGCAGCTACTTTAGTGTAGTATTCTCACCAGACTAACTATAAGTCTAGCTCACAAGACTGTGGCAGTGTGGTGCTGTCCGCAGATTTGACTTTGAATGAATTGACAGCCCACGTTACACAGTATGTTGCCACACTGATTCTAGTTGAGGCACCAGAGGCATGTTTGTGTGCTAGTGCAGTGCTCCTCTCCTGCTAACACAGCCTGTTTCTCAGCAGGACTAACTAGTTCATATAGGCTACTGAGTAGAGGCAATTGTTTCCATTTCTTCTGGTTTCTGGATGAAACTTTCAGAAACTATTTTATGAATACATTTGCAGGATATAAATGTGCTCTTTGATAAGTATCTGTACTGATCCAGCAGAACGCTGCACCAGTATGGCTAGTCATCTTCTGGTAGCCAGCAAAGTTCAGTCAGGACCAGTTTTTTTATCTGAAACATGCTAAAACAGACACACCCTTAAATACAAACTTTAAAGGCTTTCCATACACAGCCTAGTATTCCTCAGATACAGAGAACACTTAGCTATTTCAGTCACGAGGTATTGAGGAGTTGGGATCTGGCTGGATGAGCTAGTTTATAGCGAACGATAAACGTGTTTAATATAATCAGGTCTTTTCTGTATATTTGGAATATGACATACTGATTTTAAGTTATTCTCATCATGAAATTCACATGTATCGTTTTCCTTGTTGGCTACTGTATTAGCTTTACAGAAATCCATTAGATGAGTATCATGTATGGGGTATGAATTCTCTCTAGGTCAATCATTATGAACCAAAGTTGTAGGAATTCCTCTGTGGAAGTCAGTTTGTCCTTCTACTCAAGATTCTTAGATGGAAGAGACATGCCAACAGATAGGATGTTTTGTTGATATTTGAAAATGGTGTTTACTCTTCAATACAGACAACATGATTCCTTCTTGATTAGTTTTCTGATTACCTGTATATATTTTTGTGAGGGTTTATTTGTATTATATCAGTTTTAGCGCTATAGAAATGTAATGTGATTACTTGTATGATGTAATAAGAGGGATACACTTATGTCTGAGCATAATGTTGAAGCAGAATTAGGTTCAAAAGAAGCAACAAACAAGACTGCTTTTTTAATTAAAAAAATCCTTAAGACTTTCAAGAATGCTAAGTATTTTTTTACTTTATTTTCAGAAATATTTTGAGAGTGCAAATAATACAGTGAGTTTTATTAAAAGGGTTATAATGTTAATCTTTTTCTTGTTTTTTCATACCTCATAACTGACTCCTGGAATAGTGCAAAACACCTGACCTGGAGGAGAGAAAGGTGAAGAAAAAGCAGTTTTGTACATTAACTGTTGTTAGAAACATTGTCTGTCTTTCCAGCGTGCTGGATTTTTTCCTCATGTTATCTTTCCACCATTGCTAATTACAGAAGATTGAAGTTTCTTATCAGCTGGCCTGCTTGATACTGTAGTGAAAATAAGAAACTTGGATACATTTTTTTAAAATAAGATTGCTTGTTCAGTTGCAGTTCTGAGAAATACAGAATGATTCAATGCACAGAATGGAGTTGGAAAAAATATTCACAGTGATTGCTGTGGATGAGTCTCTTTTCACCAAAAACTTCCAAGGGAGTTCCCTAATGGTGTGTTTCTCTCATGTTTAGACCAATGCCATGTACCTGAAGTTTCCAGTTATTTAATGTCATACTTAGGGTTTAAACTTTAGAGATGTGGTTTGTGTGTATGTTTATTGACCACTCAGAAATAAAAACCTTCCATACTTTTGAATGGTTTGTTAAAAATATGAGGCCTGTTCACTGCGAACTTGTTTCCTTCTTATTTGCGATACCTGCGCCTGAGCTATTCATCCTAGTTTCTCTGTGTAGTCACTGGGAAAAAGCCAGGTCATCTGAAACAGGATTCATCTCCTAAAGAAAGCATCTTTAGGATATGAGGTGTCACGTACTTGAAGCAGGTATTCCTCTTCACTACCTTCATAGGGTAACGAAGGTGATCAGTTCATATATGCAAAGACAACCTCACTGCTGCTTTCCCTTGAAGTAGTGTCCCATACACCTCTAGCCTTCTCGTTCGGTATCTGCACTGTGACTGTTAGAAGGCTGGCACTGAAAAAAATGGGCACGGACTTGCCTTGAGAGTCAGAGAGCTAGAGTAGCTGGATGAGGGAATGGGATGAGGCAGATTAAGAGAGCTTTCTGCAGATAGTTAAATTCGTGTGACTGACAGAGCATCTGAATGTCAAATCTCTGCCTACGGAAACAACATTCCAGTCCAGTTCAATCCATTGTTAGTTTGTCTGTAGTCATAATAAACGGTAGCAACTTCTTAGTGAATTGACTTTCGGTGTCCTTCACTTTTAAAAGCAATGCAAAGCAACCGTAAATTTTCAAAGGTGAGATTCTTTTCTTAGGTTTAAGTTGCTATTTCAAGCTGTAGCTGTTAGAATGATAAAAGTGATCACATAGCCCATTTCTATATGGTGGGGTTTTTTAGTATAAACATCTTAATATTTATTTGCTGGTTCCTGCTCGCGTTTCACATTTCATGCGAGCATAGGTACGTTTACATACGTCATTGTAGATTCCCACGTCATTCTTGTCTTGCCCTTTCACTGACTAGAGCTTCCTTCCACATCTCTTGATATGCCTCTACCCAGCATGTGTTTACAGGGGCATGTTTAACTCAAAAAGACTAAAATTTGCCTAGAAACAAAA